AAAAAAAGGCCCCCCCCCCCCCGCGAAAAAAAAAAAAAATTAAAAGGTGGGTTCACCCTTCCCCAAGGAAAAAACCCCAAAGAACCGAAACCCCTTTAGGGGGTGCCGTTCCCCCTTTTAGGGGTTTCCCAAAATCCCCCAGGGCTTTTGGGTTTGGGAAAGGGGAGGCCTTGTTCGGGGAAAACCCGGGGTGTTCCCCCCCGGTTTTTTAGGGAAGGGGGGCCAATGGTCAAAAGGATTGGGCCAGCCCGGTTTTGGGGACCCCCCCCCCCCCCCCCCCCCCCCGCTTGTCCGTTCGCAACAACCCCCAACAATGATGTGCATAATCAACGACGTCGACGGCAATGCCAGGGCGGGGCCAACAACTGCGGTAGCCTGTGCACCAACGACGGGCGGTACTGCATGACGGACCCGGACTTCGACACGAAGGCGGGGGTGTCGGGGGCCGACGTGGTGCGGGAGTCGCTGAGGCAGAAGTGCGTGTGGAACACCTACGGCGGCGAAGATGCCCCCTTGGCGGATCAGGTGAGGAGGCGTGAACGGCGGGGGGAAAGACTTTTTTGTGTTATGTCGGCGTTTGCCGCGACGTGTATGCTCGAAGCAGCGGTATTGTCGCGGCAGGACGTCCGGTCGGGAAGCACCGCGTGAGCACCAGCAGAACGTTTCGAGAGGGTTGAAGGCGGAAACAGCAGCAGTATCGCTAGGCACGATGTTGTTGTTTGCGAACCGGTGCCGAATAGGTGTACCGGAGGTGTTGATTATGTTCACCTCTTTTTAGACGGCCCGCCGTCTGCCGGACCTTGAATTTTGTTCACTTTGTACCTGTTTTTGTTGCCTTGTCGAGCGGGTGCCGGCGAACGGCACCGATCCCCAGCCAACTCAATGACATACATCGTTGCTGTACTTTCTTTTACTCTCTTGCTTCCAACCAGGTGTCGTATGTCTTGCTCCCTTTTTTTGTGTCGTGCGTTTTTGCCTATGACGAATAGTTTCCCTGTTTCTTTTACATTTTTTTGTGCTGCCTCTCTCGCGCCAACTGACACGACGACCCTGCTTGCTCTTTGTCCACACCTTGCGTCTTGTTTGTGGTGGTTGATTTGCTGATGCTTTTGCTCTTGCGAAATTCTGCAGGGGGTTGGAGAGAAGTGGTGGTCGTACGTGAACGAATTCTTCTCGTCGTGTTCTGTCTCTGGTAACCGCTTCAACGACGAGAACTGCGTGGCAAGAGCTATGAAGGCCGCAGGCAAGTCAAGTCCTTCGGTGTTCTTTTTGGTTGTTGCGCTTGTGTGTTTGGCGTCGTCGCTACGCTCTTGCTGTGGTGTCTTACATTGCGACTGCTTGTTGATGGCGGTGGTGTTGTTTGGTATGGCGCCGCTGCTGTTGTGCACTGTTGTCACTGCTGCTGCTGCTGCTTTGTCGGCACGCTGCTTGGACAAGTATAGCAAGTATAGTATGAAGCTTTGGGCCGATCTTCTTTTTGCGATGGCCATCCACTCATGCCACAGATACGTGTATAACTGGTTGCACGGTATTTTTTCCCTTCGCTTCTTGTGCGCTGTTCGTTTTTTCAGAGGTGGACAAGACGGTCGTCGACCGGTGCATGTCCGACTCGGGCGGACTCGAAAAATCGGGCGTGAACACCATCCTCGAGGCGGAGCTAGTCGAGAAGGTATGTACATGCGTATGTTCATTGGTGAACTAATTTCTACCCGTGTACAGCAGTACCAGGATCGCGATATTTACTTGGCGTCCCGGCAATTGATTGTTGTGCTGCCGTCGCTCTTGCCCCTCTCTCGATGGAAGAGCTCCGATGCCGAGGCCACTCAGACATGATTTTCCGCTTTGGGGCATTGCTTGACAGATCTGGAATGTAGCGGGCTCGTCCGGCTGCTCTTAGGTCTTGTTTAAGTGTTTGTGGGTCGGGAGTTGGCTATTTCTGGCTTTCGCTCTCTCTCTCGTTCTCCGTTATGGCTGCGCGCCCGGACACCCCCAGGAGCTTAGGTGGGCCGGCTAAATAACGATTTTGGGGTGAACCTAAATTGTTCGTATCTACATACCATTCCATGCATGCTTCGCCGTGCCTTGGTTCGTTTGAGGTTGTAACCGTACCTGCTATGCACGCCTCTGAACCGAGGCATTAGTGGTGCACACAGCAATCACTACAAACGCCAGTGAATGTCCTTTACTGTTTGTTTCAGGGCAAGAAGTCCATCGTCATCGTCCCGACGGTGTTCGTCAACAACATGGCGGAGCGAGGAGGAATCAACACGGCGGCCGTGCTGACCACCATCTGCGCGGGCTACAAGAGCGGCACGGAACCCGAGGTACTGTACATACATACATGTATCAACTCCTGCCGCTGACCGTCGTCTGACATACATAGTCCGATTTTTTTTTTTGACCGGTCGTCCCCCGGTGTGACTCACTTGAGGTCGCTACGAGAGTTTCTGGCAATAAGATAAATCCTGGAGGGAGGTAATACCCCCCCCCCCCCCCCCTTCGGGGTTTGCCATCGGGATTGGGTTTTCGTCCCTTGGCAACGACCTTGTAAAACAAGCCAATTCACTTCGTGAACTCGGCAACCAGGTTACCGTTTTTTTTTTTTTCTCTTTTTTTTTTTGGCGGTAACCACTAATGGTGGTCGAGTAGATCATGTTGTGCGGGGTGGAGAACCCTCGCTCCGCGCAAGGGGGAATGATCGCACCACGTTGTGTTAAAATGGTCAAGCATCCTCGAGGCAGTTACACAGTGCTTACTACTGTCTCTGGAACTGAAAGCACCAGAAAATAAATTAAGTCATACGCAGCTGTCATCCGTACGCAAGGAAGTAAGCACAAGATGCCGAACACCCTTAGCAGGATGCAGCTCACCCTTCATGCGACTCGCCGAATACCTCACGGCGCTTCGCGCTTGGTGATGTGAGAGCCTGGTCCGGTGAGAACCCCGGCGTGCTCCGTCCCGGCTTTGTAGGGATGCGAGGTCAATGGTCTAACGACTACGGCATGCACGACTATGAGTACCCCCCCCCCCCCCCTCGCGTTCGTTTGCAGAGTGTGTGAAAGACGGAATGCTCGTCGATGTCCATCCTTAAGCTCTCGACTATCGTTAAGAGACATCCAACATGTAGGTTGCTTTGCAGCTCTTCTCATGGAACGTGTGACCCACCCTCAACACCTCGGTTTCTTCGTTTGGCCTTGGCTATCAATAGACGTGCTGTCTGGAAGACCGACGGCACATTGCCCCCGCGAGATGTCGAACTTGTTCTGTAGATTTTTTTTTTTTTTTCGTCAGCTCTTTCGCGTTGTCGTTGGCGTTTTGGCAACTACGGGAACAAACTCATGTTTGCAAGATAGAAAGTTGGACACACAGACTAAGAATCGACATCCGGCGCCGAGCATCAGCGAGCAGCAGGCAACAGGTTTCGTCGACTTGTTGATTTTTCACGTACGACCGTTCACGACCGCACTTTTGTGGCAGCCGTGTGCACTGTTTTACGCCCCCACAATCAACTTCCCACGTTGTGCCGTTGCCGATGGCGCTGCCGCCACCCTGTTGACTATGTCGACGTCGTGGATTGGCGTTGCGGCGGGGGCGTACTCATGTTTTCTCAAGCCTAGACCATCGAACACGCGTCCTCGAGGGGACGGAGCATTGTGTTCCCACAGAGGTTCACCCATAGGTAATAATGTCTCTTCCTCTGACGTTGCTCCCATTGCCGCTGCCGCCTCCGTTCTTGGTCG